ATCTTTGTATGGAGGGTCACTTGAAATTACGCTTACAGTCCCTTTAAAGGGTACCGTTGTGAATCCAGCATCGTTATCTTTGTATGGAGGGTCACTTAAAATTACGCTTACAGTCCCTTTAAAGGGTACCGTTGTGAATCCAGCATTGTTATCTTTGTATGTAGGGTCACTTGAAATTACGCTTACAGTCCCTTTAAAGGGTACCGTTGTGAATCCAGCATTGTCATCTTTTTAACGACATCATTTAAAATTACGCTTACACACCCTTTTAAGGGTGTTGTTGTGAATCGAGCATTGTCATCTTTGTATGAAGGGTTATTGAAATTAAGCTTAAAGAAATGTTTTAATAATAAGGAATGTAATATAACAAGAAATCTTCTCATAATTATATTTTCATAATAAGAAATGTTTTTATTATAAGAGTTATGTTTTCGTAATAAGACATTTTTTATACAAAATTTTTTTTCATAATAAGATTTTTTTTATTGAAAGAAATGTTTTCTTTATAATAAATTTTTTCTTAAAAGTAAATGTTCTTTTTTTTCATAAGACATTTATAATAAGAAATGTTTTAAAATAAGAAATATTTTTGAAAGACATTTTCTTCACAAAAATGTTTTCATAATTTGAAATGTTTTTAAAATTAAACATGTTTTCATAACAAGAAACGTTTTCATGATAAAAATGTTTTTGAAATGATAAGTGTTTCCAAAATAAGACATGTTATATGACAGAACTGTTTTCATAATAAGAAAGGTTACATGAAAAAATATGTTAATATGACAAAAAATGTTTATATTATAAATTATAAAAAATGCTTTTAGAACAGGTAGGCGTATTTACATTTATACAATGAGGACAACTTTTTTGTTTATGTTTTGATTTTTCGAAGTAAATAAAAAGAAGCTTTTTTTAATTGACAGCTTATTTAGACTTCTACATTTATGTGTATCTATGATGTTAAACAGCTTTATTTAAATCAAAATAGAAATCGAAAGTCGTCTTCATTGTTCTGATATAATCGCTCAATACTGTATTAAGAAATGCTTTTAAAATAAAAAAATACTTTAAAAAATAAATGTTCTAATAATTTATTGCTATCACAATTATTACAATGATTTCTATCCTTATTTTTATTATTGTTATTTTTAATATTATTATTATTTTTGTTATTATTATTATAATTATTATCTTTTATTATTATTTTTCCTTTTTAGAATTTATTACAAATATTATTTTCAGGGAAGACCTTAGTCCTCTTTGCTAAGCTAAAGTCTCTGGTGGAGAAAGGTCGGAAAGTTGTGTTTATCAGCTGCTTGCTTCCTTATGCAGATGTTCCTCCAATATACGAAAGTATTATGAGAAAGAAATTAAAAGAGTTAGGAGACAATATCAGGTTTTACAGTGCTATGGGTATATGCAGTGAGATGGGGGTTAGATTGGGAAATACTGATAGAGAGAAGAGTTTTTATTCAGTGCTAGCTAAGTTTATTCAGAACCTTCCAGAGGAGTTTATTTTCCTTGATGAGTTTGGGGAAACATTGGATAGCAAGGATAAAGAAGACTTGTTAGGAGTAACTGGTTACATGGCTGGTATTGAAGGTAAACATCTTATCATTTCCCTCCATCCTAGATGCAACATTGATGTGAGTAAACTGAAGGACCAGGGCTATGAGATTTCAGAGTTGAAGTATATAATGAGGAATACAGCTTCTATATGGAAATATGATAAATCTGTTTCTGGTTCTGCGAGTGATAGTTTAAGCTCAACAGTACTTGGTCTTCAACCTGTTTATATAGTTGGTAGTGAAGATATGGATTTCTACAGCAGAACAGTTGAAGAAGTTTGTAAGAAGAGAAAAAAGTTTGTCTGTTTTATTCCAGATAGATACATATATGATGATAATCAGTTTAAGGCTGAACTAGGAAGGAGAGGAATAGAAACATTTGAATACCTGAAAGTAGGAGATGAGGAGAACCTGGATACGTTTCTAGAATCCCAGGAAGGATGTCTCATCACTAGATATCAGCATGCCAGGGGTACAGAGTGTACTACACTCCTAGTCTTTGAAAGGAATGACATGGAACCTAGACTATTGAGAGGAACTACACACCTTGTATTTGCAGATCTAGACCGTGATAATAATCCTGTTAGTGTAGAAGAACCTGAGCCAGGTTATATATTAATACAAGGGAATAAACATGATCCTGTTGTCTACAGTAGTCTGGTGGACAAGATGCTGGAGAAGAAAGTAGAGAGATATATAGTTATTTATGAATATTCCTTTGTGCAACTATTTCTGATTGAACTAGAGAGGAGAGGTCTACCCACTCCAGTAAAGATACCTAGAGCCATGTATTCTGTGGAAGATATAACAACACATCTCCAGGAGAATAGATCAGGAGGTATTATGTATCAAAGATGGGGTATTGAAGATTGTTTAGAGTGGATTGGAGCAAACAGCAAGATACCTATTATTTACATAGATGATAGGGATTTTGTAGAAGATGTTAAACGTATTCGTGAAGGAAACCCAACCCTCTTCATCCGTGTTAATGTGCAATAATAGTTGTGCAAAACAAGAGATAGGGTATTCAGGATATCACAGAAAATCATGGCAGAACAAATAATTCAAATATTGGGATTTGGAAACTTTGTCAAATTGTATATTTAACCTATTTAATCAATGTTTCTATTTTCATATCTAAGATATGAATGATTTGATTTATTTTGAAATGTTATTATACTGTATCCTTGATTAATTAAAATTTCTGATTATCTTTATATTTCATGATTTCAAAATAATATAGTTTTTATATTAAATTTTATTGTTTGTGTTTGATTTTTGAAATATTCTTTATATTGTTTATTGAAGTTTAATGTGTGTATTTAAATACATGGCTGCTGTCTAGATGATATATTACAAATATCATATTTATCAGATTCAATACATAATAGGTAAATAGGTAAAATTATAATCCTTTATATTGTTTATTGGAGTTTATTGTGTGCATTTACATGGCTGCTGATGATATATTAAAAATATCCTATTTATCAGATTCAATACATAATAGGTAAATAGGTAAAATTATAATCCTTTATATTATATTTACTTTCTGTATATATATATATATATATTTTAATCATAATATGTTTATAATGAATATATAATATACTTTAGGCTGTAGATTTTAATTCAGGTGTGGATCTGGTTTTTGCTGATGGACCCTTTAATTTATGCAATATATGAGCTGAAAACTGAAACAGACATATTTTGTATATTTTAAGGAGTTAAATATATAAACTTCCTATCCTACCCTCTCTACCTATTCTCTACACTCTACCTAAGATATACAGACTCAGTAGCACTTTTGGACATGGATAAGCATTTTAATTGTTGAAACTTATTTAATAGATTATTAACATATTGATTAAAAACTTTTCTTTTCAACAGAATTCTTCATTTTTTTATTGTTGATCTTGTCTTTGTACTATTATAGGTTCTTCCTTTTCCTAAAGTTTTAATTTAATTTTTTTCATCATTCAGTGGTAAGCGTTTTTATCACTACAATGATGTTGAACACTTTTAATTTGCAAGCAAGCTTATATTCAGAAGAGATAAGTAAATATGTAAACAATGAAATGTGACAATATAAAATATGAACAAAAAAAAGGTTTAAGAATTTTGTACAAAATGATTTAATCAAAGCCATGCAGGGAATATGAAGTAGACACAAAGTACAAATCCTATCTAAGAGGTGTACTTCATACCCCATCTGTACTATGTATTTAGAGTTAGATACCCCGAACAATACATGGAGAACAAATATCTAAATATTTCAGTACATTTAACATAATTAAATTTGATTTTTTTAAACAGAAATTATCAAAAAATTTAAAAATATTTTACGTTTTTTTGACAAAGGAATTGAGTCTCTGCCACAAACTCAAATTTTGTAATTTTCATATCTTTGCAACCTGATGGTGTAAACCTGTGATATTTCAAACTGAGATTATTTGATCTATCAGGACTCATAGTTTAAAAATCTAAGAAGATTGTAGAGATTAGAAAATTAGAGTTTGTGGCATAGACTCAATTCCTTTGTAAATGACTTGACATGGCTTCAGTCAAAATGTATAAATTTACAAAGCAAAAAGTTTCCTCAATTTTAATTTTAATTATTTATTGTCATTTTAAATTATGCTATCTTGTTAATATTTTATATATACACTTAGTTAATTGGAACAATGTTGAAGATATCAAATATCAAAGGTCTATGCCACGTTGGGAAGAGAGTTTGAAAGTTCAAATTTTCACCGCTAGATATAAAGTAATTAATTTTTCAAGTACTTATATATTCCTTCTTTGATCAATTATTGATCAATAAAATATATTTGAAATGTTTTTACAAAATGCAGATATTAAAATTATATTGAAACAAGGTATGGGAGTAAATCACTAAAATGTTCATCTCATTTTTTGAAGGCATTCTCATATATACATGCTTACTCTATATATATTTTACATACCACCCTTACATATCATCAAAAAAACTTCTTGTTATTTGGAAGATATTAGAATATCAAACTCATTTATAGAAGTAAAGGGTTGGGCTTTTCATATCATTGTAACCTGCACACTGCACACTGCACACTGCATACTGCATATTGCACACTGCACACTGCACACTGCACACTGCACACTGCACACTGCACACTGCACACAGCAAACTGTTCTAGCTTCTGTATCTTACCTACGTCATAACCCGGTACAGGGCACAAAGTGGACACTGGCGAGTATACGCATGATTGTGATTGGCATTTCTTTGGTGGTCTGAGAATTCTCCACCAATAGTTTTAATCAGTGACGTCAGAGGATACGGATCTTCCCCCCGTACCGTATCGACCTTTCATTCGTGCGCGAGCCTCGTTGGGATACCCTATTCCAGTACCCATGCACACTGCACACTGAACATTGCAAACTGCACAATGAATGCTGCACACTGCACACTGCACACAGCTCACTAGACACTTGACATTGCAGAATACAGTGCACACTGTACACTGTATGCTGCACACTGTACACTGTAAACTGTTCACTGATCACTGCACACTGCACACTGCCCTCTGAACACCTTCCACCACTCTGAAAAACCCTCCACCCCTTTCCAATTCCTACATTCCTCTCCTATCAGATTAAAAAATTATTAGTAAGATATTAAAAATCTAATAAACTAGGAATAAATTACTGTAAAACTGCTATTAAACTTGAACATTGTTTTTATGCCCGAGCTCAATCAACTTTTAAATGTTTTTCAAATTTGAATTCAGCACAAAGTTGAATAAGCTAATGCCGAGTAACATTAAACAAATGCTTTGTTATTACTTATTTAATTATTTTCAAATTTGAATTCAGCATAAAATTTCCAAGAAAACAAAATTTCTTTTAAATCCCAAAAAAAAATAGAAAAATGTATAACCGTACACAAAAAAAAGATCCATTTTGAAGAATGTGGTTTTTAGAAAAATCTAAAGTTTTACAATTGAGTTTCATTTAAAATTACATAGAAACCTTTCATCAATATTGGCTGAGAATTGTATTAAACAATTTACATTTTTAACTTGAAAGTTTTTTGAAATATTCAAATGAAATTTAATTTTTTCTTTGCAAATGAGAAAACTAAGTTATCTTGTATTTTTATTAGTTTTCTTATAAGCATTCAAGAATATATTTTGCTAAATAAAAATATTGTTATATCTTTATTGCAGTAACGAAATGTATTGCCAAAAAAGGCGAAATTTGTCAAATTATCACGCAACCTCGTACGCGTACTTTCAAAATCTTGGAGGGTTTGGAAAAGACAAAAAATATTTTCGGATGTTTTGAAATTTTGTTAACAGCCTTCATTCTTTTTAATTTTAGAGCCTTTTAAATTTGAAATATTTTGATTTTTTGAAGTACCCTACTGCAGACTCTAGTATACATCACATTTCACAGTGCCTCTATTCCCTGTGGACTATTTGCCTTAAACAACTGTTGCCATGATAAAGGTTAAAATTGGGCCTCATTACATTTATTTTGTATCATACATTCATTATCTTAGAATCTCTCCTGGGAGATTAAAAACAATTTCATTATCTTTATCAATACTCATTTCAGCATGCTCCATAACAGCCTTCTCCATAGGAGATTCATTTGTTGTATCATCAGGAACTGTCTCGATTAGATCGTAGTCGTCATGGTTCTCCATCTGAATGTCTGTACAGGCTGTATGGAGTTTAACCTCTATTTGTAAACTGGAACCTGTAATCCAATGTCGAAATATGAATTCTTAAATTCTTTTTTAATGTAAAGAAATACCTGGCTTCTGGGATGCAAATGAAGTTTCTACTTCCCTAAACACAAACAAAAATAGGAATGGATCCCGATAAAAAGTATTAAACATCACAGACATGTACTGCATGTTATGAGAACAATAATTATAATTAATGATTTCCTATTCACATTTGACTACCTTATGTCAGCTGGGGGCTCTATCTCCTTATGTATTTTAGGAGAAACCTGGGGAATTACCCGCCTGCTTGGTCTATTAAACATTACATATTTTTATATCAGTTTGTCTACCAAATCATGGTCATCTGAAATCAAATTAACATGACCCTGGATGAATAAAATTTATGAACTATGCATGATTTTCAAGTTCTAGTTTATGTCCAGCCAGTTGCATACTGATCTCAGGGATAATAATAAATACATTTTGAAGGCTTTAACATACAATTCATCAAAAACTTATTTTTGTGTAAATAATTTGTTTTCCTATTTTATCCAAGTGACATATGTTCAAGACCTCCATGTAAAACATGTGATCTATTCCCTTTACTTTGTCTTCATGATAGGAACATTCAGTATCTGTCAAATATATCTGTCTATTGCTGCAGGATTACCTGCAATTTTGATTCATCAGAGATTGTAGAACACGCATTGCATATCCTCGTAATTTCTTGTTGAAGATATAGGCAACACCTTAACACCAAGGTGAGTCAAGCAATGAAACTAATTTTTCTAAATATTTAGAAAATACTGTGCATGAAAATTTCAATTTTTTTATTGTTGTTTTAAATAGATGACGCTATATTCACTTTTTTACTTAACCTGTAGATGGGACTGAAATAATATCCCAACTGGTTACCCTCAAAAAGTAAATTCCAAATAGGCAAGTATAGTATATTTAAATCACTTGCTCAATAAACTTTAATAAACTAATACTCATACTATTTCACCTCAAATGCTGGAAATTTCCACCCTATTCTAGTTTTTTACAAATATAGATTAAACATTTTAGTAAATGTGAGTGAAAAGCTAATAATTATAAGGGAGTTAAAATCAACTTATCCAAAAAAATGGATGATGTAGAGAAAAGTACTTGTTTTGAGGCCGAATTTAAAGAATTTGAGTATCCGCTTAAATTTGAGCCGCAACTCAAATAAAGTTGGTTCTACTTTTGTTCAATATTTCAAGATTTAAGCTGGCACTCAATTGAAACCAGTTTTTGGCCGATAAGACATGTGGAGAAAGGTTAGAATAAGACACTGCTTATACTTACAAGGGACAAGGTTAGAATAAGACACTGCTTATACTTACAAGGGACAAGGTTAGAATAAGACACTGCTTATACTTACAAGGGACAAGGTATGCAAACACAAAGAGACCATATCTTAGTGTGCAAGGTCTGCATCTTCTGTGTTCATAGTGCAAAAGGTTTGAGCTAAACTTATGAAAGAAATCAGTAAATTTGATTTTTTAGTTTGTTCAGTTTATGAACCATGGGTAAACTGTGAAATAGTTCTCTTAGATAAATTTGAAAAATCTGCTGAACCCAAAAAATGATATCAATAAAATTTTTTTTTTCAAATCATTTAAGATTTGCAATTTTGTTTCAAATAAACAATTCTTCAAAAAGTTTTTGAAACCTTAAAATATAACTTTCTTGACCCTAAACTTTGATTTTTGGCAGAAACCCTAAATTAACTGTTTAGTAGGAAAGCTTTTACTCAAAATCTTTAAAAATTAAAACCTTTTAACCTTTTCCTGAATGTTGTAGCATAGTCAAGTTTCTAAAGAACAGCGGAAAAAAAATTTGAACATTTGATCAAACTGGAATGGGAGGCAAATGGGGTAGTTCCAACTTCTTTCCTGTGTTTTTTGTAGTTAATTTAGATAACTTTTTTCAAATTTGTATATGAAATGTTAAAGACAAACATATTAACTTGGCTAATTGGGTAAGGCTACGAAAAATGAGTTAAATTTCTTCTTAAGTTATTGTTTTCTGAAAGGAAAAGGATTCTTAGATATTTTGCTTTTAGGAAAGAGTTAGTAAGCTGAATGTGAACAAGAAACTTAGATTTTTACATTTTATTTCTATTTAAGTTATTTGCATTTTACTCATGAACATTAAATTCCCAAGATTTAATATCTAAGTAAATTTTAATTCAATTCTTTCCTATTGTTGGTTACTGGCAATTCTCATGCAAAATGTAATAACCCCCTGAAAAGTTTGCACAAACCAAAGTAAAGGACTGATCAGTAGATGTGCAAATAAGATGAACCATTCATAACAAAATGATTATTTGCATGCAATGTGTAAACTTTCATATGGTTGACACCAAATCTTATTTTGTACAAAACTACACTTTGGAAGCATTTGTAAACAAACATTGAAAAAAAATGATTTGTTTGTTCATTTTTGTTTATCTTGCAGGTTTGATTCTACCAACTGAGGTCTTAATAAAAGAATATTATGTTCAATTTTAAGCCTGAGTAGAGGATGATGTAGTTGCGTTGTTCCAAGAAACCTGGAAAAATTGTTTAAAATCAAACTGTATTTAAGACACATTAGTTTTTAGGTCTAACAGCTTGGTAAGTATTGCTAAAAGTTAAGGAATCCAATATAATTCAGCTTACTGGATCATTTAGAACAAGATTGGTGATATTCTTGAAAGACTCTAGAGGTTCCAGGTCATGATGTGTAGATGCTATAGATTTGTTCTCCTCTTTGCTGTTGTAAATTCTACACATATTTAGAACCCTTAGAAGAATCATTTAAAACAATTAAAACCAAATTCTGTATATTTTAAATCAACTAGGATTAATACTTAGCAACTACCCTTCCAGTTAATGACTTAATATTAGTGCAGAATACCTCATTCATGCTGGGAATGGCCAAGGAAAGGAGTTAAAAGTGTATTTAAATGTTGGTCAAATGATTAAAGTTTCAACCATTACACCATAGGTCAAATTTAAACCCCATTGCTGAACCGCCTCAAACCAGTTCAATTAAGTGCTACCTTATGTCTTGAAACTCTAAATACAATGTCAAGTGGAACAAAACATGTTTGAGCTGCATTTTAAATTTGAGGCTGGGCTCAAATTCTTTAATTCTTGGCCTCAGACTACAGAAGATATGGTAATTTATGGTAATTTGGTATGGTAAATACAAAAAATTTGACCTCAAGATTATAAAGTGTCAAAACTTGTTTAAGGTTTTGAATTTAGGATTAAAACATCTTACACATAGAAATGATTTACAAAAAACAAGCATCCAGCTCCCATGACCAGGATGCTAGCTAGAGCACTAATTGCAGTAGTTTTCTGGCGAGGTTGGTTGGAGGAGGCAGCCTCAGTTTTCAGCACCTATAAGTAGCCAGTTTCTTAAGTATATAACTATAGGTGGGCAACGATCCTTTTAAGCAAGTTTTTGAAAATTAGAGCATTTTTTTTATTTTTACCATTAACAAATTGTTAAAAATCAATATCAATATCAATCTTAGAAAAAAATGTCAAAGCAGCAAATTTGCAGACAACATCTTAGAAATGGAAGAAATGGAGTTATTTTTTCATTTTTTTCATCAAAAATATTGCTATTTTGGTTGATAAATGAATGTCACAAAATATTTTAAAAATCAAAGACAACTTTCAAGTTTTCTCTAAAATTCTGGTTCTTTAAGAATATTACTGTTAACAATTGCATAGGGTAAAAAGCAGTAATTAGTGGAATAAATTGTCTTTATTTATTTGCTAAATAATGTTTAATTTGTTTTATTTTAAAAACCAAAATAAACCCCCTCAAAGAACAGACAAACATTCAAAGACAAGCAAATAATTAAATTCATTACATATATCTGTGAAACATTCAACATTATACTGGGCTTAAAGTCATGAAATTAAAAACTACCTGTCTGAACTTGTACCGTTTCACAAGATACACGCTTATCTGAATAAATTCAAAACTGTTTTATATCAAGAAATAAAAAATATTTGTAATATCTTAAACTGAATGAAAAAATGGTTTAAAAAGACATAATCAACAAAAATCTGCAGGTTCATTGGAAATCTGTAAAATTTGTATTTGTAAAATATTTGGTCCAATTTGACTTTTGTTTCTAGTTTAAAATTTGTTAAAATCCTAAATAGCCCTTCTCAGAATATATATTGTGTAAAGGGACAGTGGTTGTAATTCCTGGTCACCCTCCACTTATAGCTAAAGTGACATGTCCAATTTAATACAGTACCCTTGACAATTTTGGCTAATCAAGAAAACATGGAACATCCAAGTGAGATTAGCCATTTAAAAAAAAATATTAATGGTTAAAAGCAAAACAAAACGAATGGTATATTATAAAATGGCAACTTTCATTTTTTCAGGTAAAATTGCATCGCACTAGCAAAATTTTTTTTTTTTTAATGTATTTTGATGTTCTTTAAATATTTGATGGATCTTTTTAAGATTTTATTTGTAATTTGGTGATGTGGCTTGTACACTAAATCCAATTTGATAGGCATGAAAGATTTTTTTAAGGAGATTTTGAAGTGTTGGAAGACCCTTAACATTATTAATATTGAAAACAACTGTTAATAGCTTGCACAGTTAATGGACATTACGTTCTTTCCTTTAAAACTAATAGCTATAGCATTTAAAAAAGATCCAGCTTTGCTTGCTGAATTTTACAGTATACTTGACATTTTTTTATTTAATGGTTAGAACTCGCTATTTTTTGTCCTAGCACTTTCATTTTTTACACTATCACTGTGAAATTTTGTGACTTTTCATGAATACTAATTTAAAGGATTTTTTGTTAAAATTTTTTATTTTTTATTTATAGGGTACAGGGTGGAAAACCCTTGAAAAATGCATGTAGAAACATGTGTCACACTTTGATATTTGTTTGAGACAAAATAAATATTTTTTTGACTCTATAAATGTCTCTTTATAATTTACTAGTTTAAGGGTCCTACAGTTTAAACATTGCTTGTTAATAAGAATAAGGTTTAGAATTTAACCTGGTAGATGATGGTGAACAAGATGTAAGTTCCTATGGTCATGGTAATTATAAGGAGAAGGAATCAATTATAATGTAATTTTAGGCGACCATTGAGTTAAAGATTTACTTGCATTATTCACAATGTGTACTTTTTTTACCCTTTCCGATCTAAATAATAAATTATCTTTGATATTTGTATAGTTATGATGATGGTTCTCAATTTTAGATTGTTGAGTAATGATATTCAGTGAAATTGAAAATTAGAAAAAGTACCAAAGATAAAGGTTAAACAGTTTTTACTCTTAAATGTCACCGGGAATTATGTTGACTGTTCTTTAATGTTTCTCTCTCCATATAACTCCTTGGCTTAATGCTTGAGTACGGGGAACTTCAGGTAGAGAATAGAATAGTTCCTCAGATGCCATTGCATAAACTATCCCTCCCTGAAATTAATCACATACTGAGATAAATAATAACACTATCTACTAAAGTGTTAAGGCCATATCTATCAGATGTGCTGTGGAAAATCTAATTTTATTACTGTTATAATTGCAGATTTGAAGATACAGCTTCCAGAATTAAAAACCCAAATAGTAAGAACTTAAATGTTAACTTAGATTAACTCTTAACTTAACGCTACCAATAAATATTTATTAATCACCTAAATCAACAAGTTAAATACATAACCCCAGTATTGCAGAATACGAGCATTTTCTATCAATTGATCATGATTCTCTACACAATGATGCAGCGTTTACTTAATCATATGACCCATTATATGAAGAAATAAGAGTCTTGGATTAAGTTTAATTTAACCTTGAATTCATTATCAAAAAATTCTTTAGTTTTAGACTCTCTATAACCAAAAAGATGAGATAAGAGATAAAGTAAAAAGAGTTCATCAGGATTTAAAACCAATGTTACCTTTGCCATAAGGGGGAAAACATCTAGCCAAGCCATGATCAAATCAAAGCAAATTGATCCCAGCACATGAAGCAAGATAACCTAAATTATTAGATTAAAAGACTTCCAGGTGCAGGATTTCCCTCCTGGCAAATTTTTTGAAATTTTGGGCAAATTTGCTTGTGCAATTGGTACAGACTGTCACAAACTTAATGTACAATTAAGCTCAACAAAATTTTGCGCAAATAATAATTTTCTGCTACTCTGCTCACTTTATTTGCAAGCTTACTTGGCATTTATTATTAGTTTTCAATTGTTCTCATATTTTATGACACAAATTGAACTAACAATGTTCGTGTAAGTTGTGCCCCATTTGTGAAAAAAATTTTTGCTTTTAATTTTTCACAATTTTCTGGCACAAAAAAACTAGCCAATTTGGGCAGAAAATAATTATTTCCAAAAAAATTTCATAAAAAGGGACATTTTTCAAATATGAATATCCTTAATTCTACACTTGCAGAGTCATTTTGATATTAATTAGTTATGCTGGTTTACTTTTTTAATTTGTCTCATTTGTTAAACTTAAAAATACATACAAAAATTTAAAGAAATTACCAGTATTTTATACAAAAATTGTTCTGCAAGTGTCAAAAAATTGTCTTTTAATAGATTGTCATAGGAATCAGTAAATAATATGTCAAGAACGAACATTTACCAGTTTTCCGAATTTCAGCATACTTGCGTCGGAAATATCCTGAAATAGAAATATGTGTGTGTACACCATTAATTAAGAGAGAGCTCATATGAAGGAATGTTATAAATTTTTGACATAGTTCCTTCCATGTTCATATACAACAAGGACCTTTATCTAGATCGTTCATTTTACATTTGTTCTTTTCCATATTATTCTCTTCTAAACATTTTAATTCCGTTTTCTGAATTTTTCATCTGCCAAAGATTGTCTTGATTTGGTTGGTGTTTGCAAACTGTACTGTTGTTAAACGGAGAAAATTTCTGTACACAAACAAAGTACATTAGTTTCTACTCTTTTTCACTGATAAAATATTTGTAATGCAGAAAAATCATATAAATGGAAAATGACCAAGCAGCTGGTTAGCGTTCCTATGGTACTACCTGAAATGTTCGACATTGCCTATGGAATTTTATAAAACTTTTTTAAAAATTTCTAATTTTGAAAAAAATAATAATTATCCAAAAAAATTCCATCTTTCAAAAATGTCAGCTAATTTGGTACAGCCGTTTGGCCAGCTATAGCTAACATGTATACATATATATATTCAATTTATTGTTTAATCAGAAGAACAGATAAACATCCTCATGCACAATGTTTCATGGACCAATTGTCATGGACCAAGCTTCAGTGAGGTCTGTTCTCGACTGCAGAATATTTCAGTATTTTTTCTGCGTATTTTCAGGAAAGAGTTGGCGGATTAGTGTTCTTTGAATTTATTATATACATTCATTACATCCTACAGATACATACATGATATATATATGAGCAAAGAGCTTTATATTCTATATAGATATACTTTTAGTAACATTATTTTGCATTGACTTTATTAAAAGAAATAGACTTCAAGTGAATTTCATTATAAACTAGTCTTTCAGCTTGCTGTGTGTCCCTTTCCTGTAAATAATTATAAACTAGTCTTTCAGCTTGCTGTGTGCCCCCTTTCCTGTAAATAATTTTTGGTTTTAACTGTTGCTCTGAAAGTTGGCCATTATAAACTTTCTATTTTAGCAGATTTTTCTAATTGGGGCATTAAAAAAAAGATTCAACTTTTTTCAAGAATTTTTTTTTCTCCAATTTTGTTCCATAAACCTTCCCTTGGGCCGGTCAACAATTTGATTTGAATCTATACCTGTATAATAAGGATGTTTAAGAGGTAGAAATATCGTATTGTGGTATCCATATTCCATAAACCCATGCTGGAGTTAAACATAAACTAAACAGAGTAACCATATTCCATAAACCCATGCTGGAGTTCAATTTAATCTAAACTGAGTAACCATTTCCCATAAACCCATGCTGGAGTTAAACAGAATCTAAACAGAGTAACCATATCCCATAAACTCATGCCAAAGTTAAAAGGAGTGTTCGCGAAAAATGAAAGGGGGTATAGACTTAATGCGATATAAAAAGCGCTTTTGATCAATACTAATCTTACTTCTATCTGTTGCGTCAATAAGGAGAAAATTGATAAAGACGTCTCTAACCGAAGAGCGTAGCGCCCATACAAATTGAGAAAGTTGGAACATACGACTTAGACCGTAAAAAAATCAATTTAATATCAAACAAATCATTCAGATATTACAACCTATAGTCATCAATTATCTTTCGCTACATTTGTATATATTTAATATTTCATACTAGTTTTGATTTTGTTTTTTAAAATAATATTTAGCTTACAACTTGTTTTCGAACATTCCTGGAAAATATGAAAATGTCATCTTCATTACCAAAAATCCTCGAAACAGGAATAAATGTTTTTATAAGTATAACTCTCAGATCATAACAATTAAAACATATTATGAAAAACCAACTATATACAAATGTGGAGAAAGATAATCGATGACTATAGGTTGTAATATCTGAATGATTTGTTTGAAATTAAATTGATTTTTTTACGGTCTAAATCGTGTGTTGCAATTTTCTCAATTTGTATGGACGCCATGTTATTCGGTATGAGACGTCTTTAACAATTTTCTCCTTATAGACGCAACAGATAGAAGTAAGATTAGTGGCGATCAAAAGCGCTTTTTTATCGCATTAAGCCTATACCCCCTTTCATTTTTCGCGAACACTCCCTTTAAACATAATCTAAATAGAGTAACCATATTCCATAAAACCCATGCTGGATTTCAATTTAATCTGAACAGAGTAACCATATTCCATAAACCCATGCTGGAGTTCAAAATAATCTAAACACAGTAAACATATTTCAGAAACCTATGCTGGAGTTAAACAAAACAAAAACTAAACAAAACCAAATCAACAGTATTATTAACCTAGATTTGTTCATGATTGATAATTGTATCATAAACCATCCTTGGGATTAAGAAGTTAAGAACAATAATAGTTAAGCATTGTTAATAATTAGAAAGGGTTATAATCAACCCGAGGCTGAATTTAAAGAATTTGAGCAGCGGCTTAAATTTAAACCGTGGCTCAAATATGGTTGGTTCCACTTAAAATTGTATGAAGTTTTTTCAAGATTTAAGCCGAAGCTCAATTGAAACCGGTTTTAGGGTGATTTGAGACCCGGCTTAAATTCATTAAATTCAGACACAGTGTTCATGATTCCCAAGGGTACTAACTAATAAGATTACAATTCAACATCTTCAACAATTAAGCACAGAAAATTTAACTATTGTTAGCAGTTAACTTATGTTAGCAGTTAACTTATGTTAGCAGTTAACTTATGTTAGCAGCTAACTAAAGTCAACTATTAAATATGGTATCAATCAGCCATTGTTCTTGATTAATTAATGATGATTAGAATAATAGCAACAAATCAAACAAATATTGTTAACCATAAACAATCAATTCAGCAAAAATGCTCTTACTCTTGCGGTTACCACAACAACATAAGTGAAGAAGTAGTTGAACTCGCCAAAGATATCTCTGATGATCCAGAAGCTTGTTCCAATCCAGGGAATCAACTCTCTAAAATACTTATTCCATTGAAACTGGACCATCAACTAGATGAAATTAATTTCAGATAGGGCTAGAGATGGTTCAACCACATATCTTGAATCAATAATTCAGAATTTTTCCATGTTCTATAGATTTAAACTCATTGGTATTAAGTAGTCCAGACAGAGTAAAAAGTTAGAGGACCTAGCTCAAATTCATTAAAACTTATCCAAGAAGTCAAAACATTTATGTTTTAAATCTTGGGATCAAGCATTGATTACCATCTAATGCAGAACTACTGATTTATGTATTTCCTCATTAATATCTAATGGTCGTTATACTCTGCTGTGATACCTTTAGTTTTGGGATCAAGCATCCTCAATTTTATAAGTACCCACAATTGATATTGAAATCACTGCAAGGGCTCAAGATGACTTCCCACACAAAGGGTTTGACCTCAAAATGGGTTAACAACAATGACCAGTTACGAGACAAATAAAAAACTAAGTGTAACACAAAGTTTTTCTTTTTTCAAAGCTAATCGATCAAGTTGGATGATGCAAAAACAACAAGAAGAAAATGGAGATTTAGAAAAAAAGAAATATCCAAATATTTGCAGCTGCCATCATCTAAATTTTTTATAGAATTCTGTTAAATTTAAATTTAAAAAAAGAAAAGTATATTAAAAGTTTACAGATTGTAGGTGATGATGATGAGAACATCTGATATGGCTGTCTTGTCTCCAGCAGGAATAGATCTTTGGAAGTTTCTGTAATACCTGTCACTTACAAAAATGATTTGAAATTCTATCTCTGATCCGGATTGGATAGAAGCTGGGCTTGTTTGTCAGTTTTGTGACAAAAATACACTCTCCGTTTACATCATATTTAATTGTTTACAACAGCAGCATACTAAATGTCTGCATATCAATTAAACAACCTTGCTTGATTACATTCGATGAAATTGTATGGACCCTGCAATTCCATTTAGATATTACCATTTACAAATTACATATTGCTAAACAGTATTTTCTAGTTATTTACATTTACAACATTAAAAGGCTTATTAAAGCCAAGAACATTCCAATAAAAGACTAATTCATGTCATTAATTTATTTCAATAAAAGACAGTTTCCTTAATTGTTTCCATAGAATGTGGCAAAATGCACAGCTTCCAAAACGAAACAGATCCTACAAGAAAATTTTCAAATGTAAATAAAAAGGTTTAATAATTCTATAAAAAAATAGTCACACGGTTAAAATCCAGACTGTTAGATCATTTCAGAGTTGTAATATTTTTAGTCCGTTTAAAGCACACACCTTGCTCATGTTTCTCACTCTAGGGTTAAGGAATTTGTTATTTTCGTATGATAAATACCTCAAGAATAATGTGCACCATTAGGCTACCATCTTTCTTCTTTATCTTAAGTAATCATAATGTTTAGACACATTCAATACCACAATTTAGTACATTTCAAATTATTAAATTATTAAAAAAATAATTTGTAATTTGAAAGTATACTATTATACAAATGCTATAAATATAAATAAGTTAAGGGCTCATTTTTAAAGTAATAAAAAAAGCACTGAGTTTACTTATGCATCTTGTATTCTACAGGGGAAGCAAGAATTGTACATAGATTAAAACTAAACTTCATCTTCAGCTTGGTGCACTGAAAGAAGGAATTTAACCCCTTGTGGGTATACAAGCCATGCACAACTATACCAGTTTTTTACTCGATTAGATGTGAGGACTGGACTTCTATAGAAGATTGCATAAAGGTTGCAGTTCAGTAACATCTCGCCATATAACATTTCTCTATTTAACATTTCCCCATGTTACAACCCACCATACAACAACTTGCTTACGTAACAACTCGCCTAAGTAACATTTCACCATATTACAACAACTCGCCTATATATAAATTTTTAAATTAAATTGTAGTGTAAATGAAATTATACCAGAAAACCCATGAATCTAAAACCAAATATCAGCAAATATAATAATTCCAACAAGGTCAGGAGTACTGCACGTATCTACAACTCAGCGGGGGAAACCATCATTGGTTGACATAAACAACTTCTTAAATCTACTTTTATATGAGCTGAACAATGTTTCATAGTTTTATATAATTACATATATTTACTACTAAATTACTAATAAACTACTACTTTCTAATAAATAAAATTAATATTTTGTTTTTTGTTTTTACATGGCGAGCTGTTATAGGCGAGTTGTTGTTTTATCTCAAAATGTTGTTGTTATATGGGGAAATGTTATGTGGCAAGATGTTACTGAGCCCTTTAACTGGGAAACAATATAAAATGAAGGAACACAGGGAGCAGTCCCCTAAACCCTTCTTCTTACAAACCTCCTTATCTTTTTACTACCTGCTCCACAACTCAATGTCAAAAGAACTATTTGAAAAGCATTAAAGTGTTAAAGCATAAACAAGAAGCAAGAAGAAAAAATAAACTGAACAGAAAAAGTTGAAGGGAAATCTCTTGTAAGTAGAGATGGGGGCCTAAAACAAGATAAACAAGAAAGAATAAGAAAATACTTGAACAGGAAAATAAAAAGGGGATTTGAGCTTTATACTATCTATTTTTTTGAAGACATGGCAGATGTCCCCCCCCACTACCCTTCCAGTTAATGANACACCATCCCCCCCCCACAAAGAAAATATTATGGAAAATGTGCAGAAAAGAAGCTGACGCCAGCAACATTTGTCACAGATGACTTTAGCAAAATATGAAAACAAAACAATGGGAGAGGGTAGTAATCTTGCTTCTTTTAGGTTAGGTCTGAGATACAGGGTTTGGGAAAATAGTTCTTTCTCTTACAGTTTAGCTAGCTGCAGTATCATCCAAAAATTCATTTATTTTTATTTTCAAAATGAACAAGGAGTCGACAATCAAGAAGAAATAACAGGAAAAATATAAAGGTCTCAAAATGTTTCCATCTAATCATATAGAAATTTTAAAATATTGTTAAATTTAATTGAAATAATTTATAAAAGTTAAAAAGTAATAAAAAGACTTAAAGCCAAAAACTTTATGACTTGCAAAAAAATAACTTTTAAGATAATTTTTTTTATTCTGGAATATTAATTAATCCTTTATTAGTCAAAAAGAACAACTTAAACTGGACAATATGATAAGATGAAATTACAATTTCCACAATTCTCCAAATAAACGAAATAACAAAAACAGTGGTCATCATTAAATAATCCTGTAATTAAAATAATAGTTAAGGTTAGTGGTTTATGAGCTACTGAGGTACTAATTACTTCATACTTCAAATATACCTGGGATGAGATTTTAATGTCAAACAGATTTAGAAAATAATTTTAGTTCAAGAGAACCCTTACAGATTTAAAGAATAATCTGTAAAAGCTTTATTTAAGTTTAAAATATCAAATATAAGAAAAAAATCTGTAAAGTTTACAAATATTGAAAAGCTTAATGGAGAATTTTAATTTATTTAACTATTTTGTATATCTTCCAATTTACATTAATTAAAAAACCTGTCTTCATGATTTTACATTACCTTTCATTTGAAGAAGGAATATAATTCTGATAATTCCTCACTCTAAAAAATGCAATTTTGCTCTTTAGCATCAGGCATCAAAGCTCTTCTTTCATTTTTTAAATTTCTTCTTTCATTACTCAAATTTTGTTGAATATTTTCCAAATTTACAATATAACAAAACTTGTTAATAGCTTACACATTGTTCTCTCAGCATGTGTCAAACTTTGTTATATGACATCTTTCTTTTGTCATGTGACAGTTTTCTTTCATTGAAATTAGCCTATATTTTAGTTTGTGTAAGATTAAACAAATTTTGATTTATGATCAATCAAACGTTGAACCATCTGCCAGGCTGGCACGGCTGGCACGGCTGGCTAGGAGGGGGAGAATCAGCTGAATTTCTAATTATTGACAGTTTAGTCTGTTAGCCGACAGCACTTATACCTACGTCAATTAGATCTGGAAATTTGAAGATATCAAAAAGATTTAAAGGGAAACCTCCAAGAAACTGGAAGAATAAAATTGAAATTTGTTTAGGCGTTTGTACACTCTCTCAAACTAATGCTTGCATTTTCAATGCTTTGCTTGAAAGAGAGTATCAATGCAAATTTACCAAATCTTCAATAATTCAGACTGCAGAATTTACTTCTACAAGAATCAAATATGTTGTCTAAATTGGTGATCAATTGATGCCTTGTCCTTTAAGCTTTGAATTGTATTAAAGTGTAAAACTTATGTTGTATGTTACTTTAAAGATTTGTATTAAGATTTTTTATTTCTGCCTATTATACTTTGATTTCATATATTTGTATTATAAAAAAATGTGATAAACTTTAAACTTATGATGTTTAAATTTTTGTTTTTATCAATTGCATTTTTGCTGATACATACGTTTTAAAAACTAATAAATTGTATCAAAAAATTGAAATTTTACATAACAGCCGGATTTTTAAGTATCAACAAACTTTGAATCTAGATACAACAAATTTTGAGAGAATAGGTGGCTCCGCCTGTAACAACCTCTTTTGACGGGTCAAGATTCAAAGCTGAATAATCATATAACAAATGATTACATAGTTGCGCAGTAAGTTGAAGGGACATTCAACAAATTTAGAATTATGGTAATTTTTAAACCACGCAGTGTTGCTGGTTGAATCGACATGAAACAAACTTTGTGAGATAATAATTATATGGAGGTGTGGCCCCGGCGGCACAGCGAGTGGACAAAGATGGGTTGATAGATCATGTAACAAACTTTGAATTAAGGCAACTGAAAATACATTCAACAAAATTTGACGAATGATTCTGCTAAGGTGTATTTGAGTCCGGTGCTCTGACAAATTTTGTTAGATGAAAATTTGAAATTTCTTAGAGTGCTCTGTTGTTAAACTCTGAAGTAGGGTTGTCAGCAAAAAAGAAAATTTGCAAAAATTTCCCTTTTTCTGAAAAAAATATTGTTTACAACAGAATTTTAAAATGTCCTTCTAGTTGGGGACATAAATTGGGATTTTTCCAGACCTACACAATTTGTGCAAAGTATTAGAACATTTGAAGAGGAGAGATGTTTAAATATTTTCTGGAATCTGTCAGATAATGATCCAATAGAAGAAGTAAGTTACACATACATAAATACAGTAAACAATGTAAATTATACTTCACAATTTCCCCAGTTTATAGTTCAGTTACCAAATCTGGTGTGATAATTCATCCAGATAAATTTCTGGTCATCTTCCTATACTCTGTAAGTTTGATATGGATCAGCTTAATTTGGAAGTAAAGAAGTTAACCAGTAAATTATTGAGATAATCTGGATAAAAGACTAAATATTCTAGACTCACCACAGGAATTTAACCTTTGCCACATGATGCCAGTTTTGATGAATATGCTACAAGAATATGTGAAGCTATAGATAATGCAGCAAAGTTGTGTCTACCAAAATCAGGAGGAGTAGTAAATGAAAGATCAAAAGGGATCTTAATCTGGAATGTATATGTAAAACCATATCAGGCCGAAAGTAAGTTCTAGTTTGATGTACAGCAATATAGAACACATTACAGTATGGCTTTATTTCAGGTCCCAGGGGAATGGTCTTATGTATAACTATCTCTCTTCAGTTTGTAATAGATGAATAAAATAAAAACATAATTAATGAATTTATTTCACTTCTCCGTCATCTTTCCCCCTATGGCATTCCAAAAAAAAAAAAATTAAAGGTATGTTTTAAAATGACAGGGACTTTGTTTATTTTTCATCTTAAAATAGAATCAAATACGCAGAAAATTAAAAAGTTTAAATACAAAAATATTAATATTGAGCATTTCTTAAAACAACTATATATAACAAAAATATAAATATTGAGCATTTCTTTCAAAAACTATATATAAAAAAATATAAATATTGAGCTTCTTTTCAAAAAATAAATTTTACAAAAAATATGAATATTGAGCATATTCTCAATAAATAAATTTTACCAAAAATATAAATATTGAGCATCTTCTCAAAAAATATATTTTACAAAAAAAATAAATAATAAATAATGAGCATCTTCTCAAAAAATATATTTAACAAAAAATATAAATATTAACGAAGAGTTAAAAATATTAAAGAGTCATCAGACTTCAATTACTGGATAGAAGGGAAAGATAACATTGGCGTACGAGGGGGGAGGGCCGCGCCCCCCCTCCCCTCTCTACGCGTGCCCCCCTGAAAGGCTGAGGGGGGGGACCCATGGGGGAGACTCTTTTAATATTACATCTGCTTGCATTTCTCTTCCTCAGGCCAGGCACAATGGCGTACCTAGGGGGGGAGAGTAGTCCTCTTGCCCCCCCCCAAAAAAAATTTCAGGCGGAGCACTGCCCCCCTGTAAAATACAAAATTAAAAGGAAACTACGTTTAAAAAGTAACACCTGACAATGATAAAGACTAAGGATTTGTCTAAATTCACTGTTAACACAAGGAGAGAAAAGTTTTAGCCTTCAAAAGAGAATACTTCACTACACAAGATGTACTATGACGGAGAGCAGACTTAACGATCTTGCACTTATAGCTTTACACCCTATAAGGCTGTCTGCTCTACTGAAAAAAAATCATTGCATTGTTTGTGCAAGCAAATCCCAGAAAATTGTAGCTTAAAAGAGTTGGTGAATATGTAGATTGAGTAAATTCTATCTAAAAATTCCAGAAGAAATTTCGTTTATTAATAAAAATATAATTTTTAATGTTGCTGTTTGATTACTGATTTAGTTATGAGGGAGTTAAGTGATAAATTTATAAAGTTAAAAAGTTAGTTTTTCAAGCGAAGGAATAATTTTTAAGGTTAGTTTGGTGTTTTTTTTTGGTGAACAAAACAAGTCCAGGTGGGGGGGGGGGGGGAAATTTAAAAAAGGTATCAATATTTTTTCAAAAAAGGGGTTTTTAAGAGGGGGGCACAATGTTGCCAAGGGGGGACCCAAAATTTTTTTTGCGCGCGTAAGCCCCCCCTAAACAAAACCCCTCGTACGCCCCTGAAAGGTAAAATGCGACATTATTGGTAAAACTTTGAGTTTGAAGAAAAAAAATTTATCTGGTTACAGAAATTCACAAAAAAAAATGTACGCGTGCAATTTACTATAGTTTAACGTAGTCACAGAAACACTCTGTAAGTAGCCAACATGAATTAATCACAGGGATGAATTAATTCATTCATTCATGGTATCCAAGGGCTACATAACTAAAGGTTATAGTGTACATTCAAGTTGTGTACACTCAGCAGTCTGTAGTAGGCCTAAAGGGAGGGCTTTGGGTATGTAAGAAAAGTCAGAAAATTTCAACAGCCTCAGACCAATACTTTTTGAGTTATGTAAAAAAAACTACAGGGGGGGGTCAAATTGACCCCCCCCCCAGGGGGAGTAGGGTTAAGTGACCCTCCATGCAAAGATGTCAATGCCCGATTCACAATGGTAATACAAAAAGCTTTATCTGATCAACGGAAGATATTGTCGTTTTTCTAGGTTTAAAAGTGTTTTAATTCCTGCACCCTTTCCTGCAGTAGCAGTAGTTATAGTAATCCTTGTGTCACTTTCTAAAAAAATACTCATTTTTCAAAATTATAAACATCGATATACTTGATCAGACAAAGCTTTCAGAGTACCGTTGTGAATCGAGCATTGTCATCACTTGAAATTACTTTTGTTTAATAGCTGAACAATTTACATTTTGAAAGCACAATTTCTTAAGAATTTTAGAGAAATATTATAAAGATTTTAAAATCCGTTATAACTGTTTTAACTGAACTGTTTCACTGTCTTATAGTAGAAAAATTAGTTTTTAAGTCTTCTCTTTTTGGCCCTTTTTTAAAAATAGGTTTTGTGTGAAATTTCTTAAATAAACATTCCTTTATAAAAGCTGGTTTTACGGTATGCAACAATTTTCATTTGATCCCGCCGGGATATTTTCATTGAAAGATACTTTGAAAATCTACAAAGGCAAAAAAAATCCGCAAAATCCGCAAGTCCTCGGGTTTATCATTGAATCCCTTCTTTAAAAAGGAATGTCATTTACTCTCAGACAAATTTCCATTGATTCTAATTTGTCTGAGAGTAAATGATGCATTTTGAAAGCACAATTTCTTCAAAATTTTAAAGAAATATTATAAAGATTTTGAAATGCGTTACATAACTGTTATAATAGATATAAAACTCTCATATTAGAAAAATTAGTTTTTAATTCTTCTCTTTTTGACCCTTTTTTAAAAAAGGCTTCGGGTTAAATTTTTTAAATACTGAGTTATTCAAGTTTTACTGAAACAAAACTTTAAAATTCTTTTTACTTAAATTGCATGCTTCTCACGCACCTCTGACCCTATAGTAAAAGTAAATTCATCCTAAAGTCTGACGGCGTCAACTTTACGGCTGCCCGTGTTCTCTCCTTTATTTATTTACATATAAACTGATATCTATACATACATTGTAATAATCTCTGTTTTGGTGTTTTTTTTTCTGTATGGCCGATCAAATGCAGCCCTAGACCAATTTAGTTTAAATTTTGATTATTTGACAATTCGTTAGAATAATGGGATCCTGTTCTTAGCTTTGTTTGAAATTTGTTCCGAGAGGATAATGATCTAATATTCTGATTTTAAATTTTCTACTTTGTCCAAAAATCCGATTTTAAAGCTATATTATTATATTATTATTAGCACTTCCTAAATACTATAAAAGCTAAAAACAAGTGCTTTATTGTTTTAAATTGCAACATGTTTTACAAAAAAGCATAGTTAGAGATGTAAAATTCAAAGCCAAGGTGTTGGGAGTTGTGACACTCCACATTCGCTTTTTTTCAGATTCCGTTTGTAGAATAAAATACGAAAATTTCGTATATATGTTTTTAACGAAATATCGCATAGTTTTCGCATTCTTTTGCAAAATTCATTTTCTCAAAAAAGTGCGAAATTTTGTTAAAAAGAAATGCGAAACCTTATTGTGGGAACATCCTGTAGTATCTTTTTTCCCTATAGTATAGTTGGGTATCTTGGAGGATTTTGGAGGATGCAGATAAGAGATCAGCTGGTTTCAGTCAACATACATACTTTATAGTACATAAGGAATCATAAGAAAGTGAAATCTGCACTCGTTCATTGATTCAACCATATGATATTATAGGGTTCTCACTGCTGAGGGCTGTAACTGGGTGTTCCTGTAGAGGGTGGTGGTGCAGGAGGGCAGAGCCTCCCTGTAAAGATAATTTATATGATTTTTATTATCTTTTACATTTTATATCGTTTTATGATTTTGTTTATTATTTATCTTATATTTGACGTTTGATATTACAAACAATAGTCATCAATTATTTTTAGACTTATTCGTATATAATTAATATTTTATTAGTTTTGATTTTATTTTTTTAAATAGTCGTTCGCTGGCGCTGGATTTTCGAACATTTCTGGGAAATATGAAAATGTCGTCTTCATTATCAAAAATCCTCGAAACATGAATAAATGTTTTCAAAAGTAACTATCAGATCATGAAAAATAAAAAATATTATGAAATATTAACTATATACGAATGCGTCGAAAAATAATCGATTACTATTGTTTGTAATATCTGAATGATTTGTTTACGATCTGAGTTTAATGTTGCATCTTTCTTAATTTGTATGGACGCTACGTCCTCAGTATAAGTCGTTTTTAACAATTTTCTCCTTAAAGAAGCAACAGACAGAAGTAAGATTAGATGCAATCAACAGCGCTTATTTTTCGCCGTAAGTCTATACCCCCTTTCATTTTTCGCGAATACTCCCTTTCAGTAAAAATTGATCCTACATGGAGGGGAAACCGCCTGTTTGCCCCTTTATTGATAATAATAATAGGAGGAGGCACCAAAAGAGGTTGAGGGAAGAATGACAAATTTCTTCAAAAAAATCTTCGGAATGAAAACTAAAGGTTAGACAAACGTACATAATAAAATTATTTTTCTTCTAGAAATCAGTATCTAGAATCTAGATATATGTAAAGGGGTAATCTCAGTTTTCATAACTAATGAACCACTGCACTGGATAGATTTGCCTAAAGTTTTGATTGGCAAACTGGGTAGAAACATAGGTTTGTTGGTTTATAACTTCCAAGTTGAGGGAGGTTAATTTTCACAAGCAAAACTTCAGGATAATCTAGGTTTCCTAACATAGTATTACAGAAAGTGCAAAGTATCATGAAAAAAACACAAGAAAAAGAGATTAAACAGAGGCGCAACTAGGACTTTTGCTAGGGGGGGGGCAATATATTATTTTGTAATGGTGGGTATCAGTTAGAAATTTGCCAGGTTCAAAATTTTCTCTAGATTTGGAACTGATTTTTTGCCACAAACTCAAATATTATAATCCCTAAATCTTTGCACCAAGTGGTGTAAACATTTGATATTTCAAACTTGGAATATTTTACCAACAGAATTTAAAGTTTGATATCTACGAGTACTCTATAAACTCAACACAAATAAAATACAGTTCTGAACTTTTTTTACATTAAATGTTTACAATAGCCCTTAGCCTTGAGAATTGAGAAAGATTATTGGTTTTCTTGTTCCTGTGATACTGATTTTCGCCATTCTTTCTTTCTTTTCATTCTGCAGGGGGGGCGCGCCCCCCCTTCTCAGGTGCTAGGGGAGGGCGCGCGCCCGGCTGCCCCCCCCCCTAGTTGCGCCTCTGAACCTCTGCTTATTTGCTACAAAATCTTTTCAGGAGGAAGTAACCATAGTTTACCATATTACTCACTTATTAAAGTGTTTTTCTATTATTTTTTTATCAACAATGAAAATTGTAGCAAACAAAAATATTGTTAAACCAAATTTTTTTATACAAAAATATTTTGAATATGAATTACAATATTTTTACTGCTATGTAACTTTTTATTATAAATAATAAAGCTTATAACTATGTGTACATAATATATACAGTAAAAACCAATGCGTTGTACTGATTCTTATCTTTAGTCATGAATTGTAAATTGTAACCTTTATAACTGTTATATATTTATGTTATAACTACTATATATTTATGTGTAACGTTCTAAATGTAACCTTTATAACTGTTATATATTTATGTTATAACTACTATATATTTATGTGTAACGTTCTAAATGTCTTAAAGTTTTGTGTTTTTTAATAAAGCATGTTAACTCAATCTTACGAAGACCTAAGGATGTATTTTTTTCCTCTTCGATATCCCTCGGTGGTTATATCCTGCAAAGATAACTTTGGGGATCATGCATTAATCCTAGAATTTAAAAGTGTCCATATTGCATTTTAAGATCAGGAGTTCATGCAAGATTAACGATACTTGACACAAAAAATTCGAAATCTTTTAAATTTTTTTTTTCATTTATGAGATCTTTCTATTCAGATAATCCTTTTCTTTAGTAATAAACATAAGATTGGAAACATTTATATACTATCCAAGATTACTGTGTAAAATAACAAAGTACAAACAAATTTTAATATCAATGCTCATGTATGATGCATGTATGATACATACATAATGCATGATGCATTTGTAGAATGCATTTATGCATGTACCATTTCTTTACGTGATTACAAAGAGAGAAAGTGAAATACAGGTTTTTATATATATATATATTTATATATAACCATATTTAACAGTTTTGGATGCTGTAAAATTAAATCTAACGCCGCATAAAAAGTGATTTATATAAAAAGATTTTATTTTCACTCTTTCATAAAAAGTTTAAGAAATTCCAGGGTTTTTTACAATTTTATTTAAAAAATCATTATAAAATGGATAAAATGAAAGCAGAGTGCAAGAGACAATTTTTCACACAACAGGCTCATACTGCCAATAATAATAATGTAATTTTTTGGTTTAAATATTTAATCTTTAAAAGTTGCTTTCCTGTACACTCGAAATTTTACGTGATTGGAATAAAATATGTTTCTTGATATTGCGTTGTAAAGATTCCCTGTTTCCCCCACCCCCCCAACAATATAATAAGTAAACATCCCGTTATGACCCAATTCAACCAGGTGTGTCTCAAAAAATAAATAATTTCAAAATTCACACTTTTTTTATTCTCACGCTCGAAGTCAAGAAATAGCTGTAAAAATATATTTTTAAAAAAAGAAATGCAAAAAGATGTAAATTGGAAGTTTTCCAATGTTTTGGGGAGAAAAAATTAACTCTTGTTTGCAAATACATATTTTTGCACGCTGAGTTAAGCCCTAAGATCTCAATATTAAATTTTTAAATCTGAGGTCAGTGACTTCCATTTTGAATCTGAGGTCACTGAATTCCATTTTGAATCTGAGGTTACAGACTTCCATTTTAATTCTGGGGTCAATGACTTCCATTTCGAATCTGAGGTCACTGAATTCCATTTTGAATCTGAGGTCACTGACTTCCATTTTGATTCTGAGGTCACTGACTTCCATTTTGACCTCCATAATCCAAAAAGAGGAAAGATTCTAGTGTAATAATAAAGGTAAGAAAAGAAATTGAGTTTTTGCCACAAACTCAAACACAAACAAACCTATATCATATTTTAAATTTTATACTTATTTTAAATATTTTAAAATTGACTATTTGGTCCAACAGAACTTTTTGTTTGAAATATTAAATGTCTGTTGCAAAGATATGAGAACTAAAAAAATCAAATTTTGTGGCAAGTACTCCGTTCCTTTGCAAATGTTATTCTCAGGCTGCAGAAAATTGTTGTCAGATTAAAATATTTAGATATTTCTGACATTTTTAGAATTTTTTAAGCTACCATTCCGCACAATAAACTATAGTTCCTGGTTTACATTCCGCACAATAAACTAGAGGTCCTGGTTTACATTCTGCACAATAAACTAGAGGTCCTGGTTTACATTCCGCACAATAAACTAGAGGTCCTGGTTTAAAAATTAGTGAGTCTTAACTTTTTGACCCATATTAATCCATTAAATGTTGACTTTTCGTTTTTGTTACTTTTTACTTTTATGTTGGGTTTTGCATTTTAAATATTTAAGTAAACTAGGCTTTTAGGGCACTTGGCGCCCATCTTCTATTTCAACTTTTAATTGTTGCTTTACCTGTAAGCATTTTCTCTTTGTAAAGTATAAAACAAAAACAAACAAAAAAGTTTGCGGATTTAATAATATTCTTTTGCGCATATTTTAAACACAAATTTTTGAAATTTTGATAATACATAAACCTTTTCTGGGGTCACGTAAGGTCCCACACAAAATTTGGGCTTGATCTGTTTGCCGCTTTGACGTTTATTGGATACACACAAACAGACAGACAAGCTAAATTTATATGTAGATAAGGTATTTTACGTTACAATAAAATATTTAAAATTAGACTGAAAATGAAGCACTTCCTTGTTGATAGTTTGAAGTGTACGGCTTAGGGAAGAATCTAGAATGGAAAAATATTGGGATATCCGTTTTTTGAGACAACCTAGTCCACACTATCCCTTCTCCTCCCCCCTCTCCCCACCCCCTTCCCTTTCTCCCTCCCCTTACCTGACCCCTCTCATGCATTTAAAGATTGAATCAGTATCTTGAAGGAGCTGGAACAGGACGGTCCTAACAAACCCTCTCCAGATCAAGAGAAAGTTTTTAAATACTATTTTAAAGGGACTGTACACTTATTTCAAGTAACCCACCATTTCAAGAGTTGCATTACAGGTCCACACCGGCTCCCTTTAACCCTATATTTGAGTTTAACAATACGAATGATTTTTTCTATCTAAAAGGACTGTGTGGGGCATCTCTATTGTGACCTTCCCTGCAAAGATGGCAATATCTGATCTACAACGAACCCCTTAAAAGCTTTTTCTGACCAAGTATCAATGAGATATTGAAAACTGATGATTTCTAATCCTGGTTTCTCTACAAAAGTAGGAATTACTGCGGGCGCAAGGAATTTATTAATTATCAAAATTTAAAACTTCTTTACATTAAAACTCCTAAAAAAGAGCTTCCACATTATATATCAGATAAAGGTTTCAAGGGTACCGTTGTATATCTGACATGGACAAAACAAATTCTAGTTTTTAAACTATATTCTTTTCCAGATAAAATGTTAAACGTTGTTATCACCCTGGGCCTAATTGTAGGAAGCAATGCTCTCCAGTGGGAGGCAAACAGGTAAAATGGTACAATATGATAAGACAAAAACAAGAATAAAGTATAATGTATAAATATAGTTTCTAGTCGGAACATAAAAGTTGATCATGGTTGCGATCTCATTATCATCAAAATTGTTTAGAGTTAAATTATCTTCTTTAAGTAATTCATGAAGAATGGGTAAAAGGTGCCGGTAGCACCCGTGGTTAATCTCAACATTCGTCCAAAACTTGGCAGAAAACTCCTGCTTCAAAACTAAACCTGGGCAAAGTTCCGTTAACGGAATGGAGGTTTTCGATAATAAACGGAAGAGTCCTTTACCGAACGGCAAAACCGTTTATTTTTAAACCGTTAACGGTAGGTATTAGCCGTTTTTGAAAAAAAAAATAACGGTTGACAACGAAAATAGAAAGGTTTTTTTGAAACGGTAAATTTGGTTTTTTTCCGCTGAGAATTGCATAATTTTATATATTTTTTGCGTGTTTTGATGTTTTTAAAAATGTCGTCTGTGTTCAAAACCTTAAATACTGAGGATAGAGAATAGAGGCAACTTTTGAATTTTGATTTAAAAAATTTGGAGTGAAAGAATCTGGAATAGGATAAGCACAGTTGATTTGGATATCTGGAAAAGGATTAATATTGTTCAACTGCTGTTGCCGTTAACGATTTAACAACTTGTTAACACCGTTAATTCTTCAAAAGACCGTTAATGATTTTTTTAACGGTTAACGAATTTTCCTTTTTGCGGTTTGCCCCCTTAACAATGTATCAAACTGCAGCCGTTAACGATTTTTGAAAATTTTCCATTAACGTCCTTAATAAAATTGAGATCGTTAACTATCGGTAATTTTAAAAAAAAACTGTAAATGCCTGTAACGAAACGAACGTTCCGTTCTTACCTTTATAATTAACGGCTACCTGAAATTTCTATTTTTTTATGGTTAGAACTTACCGTTAACGAAACGGTTAGAAAAAGTTGGAACGTGCCCAGCCCTAGTAAGAACTCATATGTTCAACCTTTTCTCTGAAACTTGAATTGACACACAAGAGAATCGCTATTCCTTAGACGATTAGCAAAATCAAATTTTCTAATTCCTAATTCTTTGCAAATATCTTAAGATTTTAAGCTTAAATTATTTGATCTGAATTCATTGTTTAAAATTATCAAGGTCATACGACTTTGGATGGTAAAGATGTTCAGGGATTAGAAAATCAGAGTTTGGACAAAGACTCAATACCGTTGGTCCTTGTTCTATTATATGTTGAATGTTGATATTGTAGTGTATTGTTTATATATTTACTATTTACTATACGAAACGTGTTTATGAATAGGTCAGTTGTTAAGGTAGGGCACAAGAAGTAATGTAGGTCAGTTGTTCCGTTTTGGGGGAAAAAATCATGATACCCTCTATAACTAGATTGGTAGGCACCATTCACAACAGTACCCTTGGAACCTTGCATTTTCAAAGATGAATTAAATATTTTAGATTTTCTAGCTGAGCCGGGAACTTTTGAATGGTGTATATCGAGATCAATGCCTGATCTTCTCTTTTTCTTAATCTCGAGACTAACCTAATCTTGTGTTTGTATCCTGAAAAGCGTACAAAATTTAACCAACCAGAGTGGCGTATCAAAAGCCGGGAAATTTGAAAAATTGTGCGCCTTTTAATAGAAGTCTATGAAGACTCTTTCTTTGTTAGAAGTTTATCAAGAAACGTATTTGAATTTTTCTAATCTTATCTTTCAATTTCTCTCAAGATCAAAGAAGAAACCAAACCGGTTTTTTCTTTTATAGAGGTCACAAGGTTTTAATGGAGAGGGAGGGGGAGGTGACTAGGCAGGGTTACACGAAAGAAATTAGACTTTATTTCGTCCCGCTTTTTATCATTTCTTTATATAAAGTATCCTGGCACAATGATCTCTAGACTGCTAGGACAAGTTGCAACAATTTTCATGACAGGGTCGGCTTTAAAGTTTAAAGTTTAAAGTCTGCTATTACAACCCTAGACATGTTGAGTGTAAAAGCACCTGTTTTAGCTGTTCATTTTTCTGTGAGAGCTTAAAGAATTTGATAATTTACATTTTTTGGGAATATGAGAACAATTTGTTTAGTAAAATAATTCTCACAGCAATAAAATTTGTTGAGATATTCGTAAATTTTCCAATTTTGAGAATTGTCCCTTTAAACTCTGATTATTTTTAGCCCTGGAGAAATTCTACCAAATGCTCTCGGTCTAAACGCCAACACCAACACACTCAAGTATTTTTGCAAGTTTCCAGGTAAAACTTTTTTGTTTTTGGTTTGTTGGCATCTTGTTTGATTAATCATTGTTGGGAATGATAAAATTTAAAATTTGAATTCAAAATTATTTTCTCTTTAATTTGTTTGTATTATATACTGTAGTGGTCGTAGTTAATTTCAATATAATGAAGACGACTGTTGATTTAAAAGTAAACAAAGAGAAGCTGTTTGTTTGGCATGCTATTCTTGCTGCTTGAAAGTTTGGTAGAAATAAGAAATTGAAATCGAAAGTCGTCTTCATTGTATTGATATATATGACGTTGACTGAATGCCAAATCGTAACTTTGGCAGAAGTTTTTTCAATTGCTCGATAACTATATCGATTGATTTTGCATCAAAATTTTGCAAAAATGAAAGATTTAATTTTGAATTACGTCAGACTTTTTTTGAAGCCTCCTAATGGCAAAAAATATACCTAAAATATATCACAATAGGGAAAAAACAATTCTCTATTTTCAGATGGTGTTATCGGTGTTGTGTCAAATAACAAGGACATCTGTCAAGGAGTCAAGTAAGCATAAACATTATTAAAACATTAAATTTTGTAAAATTGATAAAGTGAAAGGTAAATGAAACAGCCCTGCACTGCACCACACCAGAATCGTTGGATTGTTTCATTACATTCTAAACTTTTAAATAAAAAACGCTTAAATTTAATCGCTTATTTGGATGACTGCCAAACAAGCGATTTTTCGTCGCTAAATTAGCATCAATAAGCAATTTTTATATTTATAATTAGAAGTGTATGTTCAATAGTGTAAATATGTTGTTGTGTAAATATGTGGAACTAACATCTACTTTTTTACTCTACAGAGGTTTGGTCCATCACCATCACTGAATTTTAAATATGTTTATGTACATAACATTTATGATACATCCGCATGTTATGTACAAGGTAACGTGTTATGTACATAACATTTACGATACATCAGCATGTACAGGGTTATGAACAGAGTTATGTGTTATGTACATAAAATTTACGATACATCCGCATGTACAGGGTTATGTACAGGGTTATGTGTTATGTACATAACATTTACAATACATCCGCATGTACAGGGTTATGTACAGGGTTATGTGCAGGGTTATGTGTTATGTACATAACATTTACGATACATCCGTATTTACAAGGTCACCCACTAAGGATGAGACTGTGAAGACGACTTGAAACCTTTCAATTATGACTATTCCTAGCTTATATTGAGCCTTCTGTCTTGAATGTGGTCTTTTAATGGTTTCTTGAATGATTTGGAAAAAAAAGAAAAAATTTTATATGTGGCAGGGTAACATCTTTTGTGGTAAAAGAAAACAGACAATAGATAGTGGGTTTCACAGATTATCCATTTACTTATTTTTTTATTTACAATTTGTAATAATGCTTATGGGAATTATTAACCAGGGATGGACCGTAGTAATAATATCATGAAAGAGAATGGAGGGTAGGTATTAGGTAAATATTGCATACTTTTTACTGAAAATATTTTTATAAATGTTTCCAGGGATGGGGAGTATGTTTCTACTGGAGATTTCTCAGTCCTAACTTCAACTTCAAACGAGGTATTTAAATAAACTTTTTAATTAACGAAATATATTTAAAGGGACTGTAAGCTTAAAATCAAGTGACCCTCCATACAAAAATTACAAATTGCCAAGCCACTTTCGCAGAGAAACCGCAATTGAAAATAAAAAGTTAAAGAAACAAAAATATGGATATCTAATTTATACCTGATCAGACAAAGCTTTTATGGCCGGGTACCGTTGACATCTGTGCATGAAGGTTCACTTCAAATTACGCTTACAGTCCCTTTAAAGGAAGCTGGGAATAAGAAGTAAGACTATAGTAGAAGACAAAACGCTGCTCGCAAAGAATAGATTTATTAAAAAAACATACTTTAATTATTGTTAAAAAATGTCGTTTGGTTTTAAATCTAAGCAATTTTTTAAGCAAATTTTCAAAACTAATGATATAAACTTTTTTTCAATGACTCGAGTTCTAGAATGTTCTTAATAAGAATCATGGTGAAATTAGAATCCTGCACTTGTTCAATTTTTCAAATGTTTATCATCTGGACTATAAGGGTTTTTCAGCCGATTTTTTTGTGGAATTCTTATCGGGTTTTATTCATTACACCAAGGACCAAATTATATATTATATATTAAATTGTTAAAAGTTGTATGTTAACCCTATCCCATTGACCCCCCCCATCTAAATTCCATCTTAACCCTATCCCTGGTGGGGGGGGGTCAATTTGCCCCCCCGCCACTCTAAATTCCATGTTAACCCTATCCCTGCTGCAGTACTTGACCCCCCCTCTAAATTCCATGTTTACCCTATCCCTTTGGCCCCCCCCCCCCCTCTAAATTCCATGTTTGATGTTCAAATATGACAAATGGTGCATAATTTAAAAGCTCTTATGCTCTACTTTAGAAAAAAAATTTCCAAAAAATGATAAAACATACATTTTAGAAAAGGGCCTTTGACCATGCCATTTCAAATATGCAAAAAATGGTGCAAATTTTTTAATAACCTGATGTAATTATATAAGATAAATTAAAATTGTGCAAATTTCTTTTGACGAGTTGTATGCAAATAACTTGTATAATCCGTTTCTTTGTGTCATATGCTTTTCAAAAAGCTAAAAAATTATCAAAATCTGACGACTGAAAGTGGGTCAAAACAAAGATTTAGTTTATTTTAAGTAAAAAGTACTCATTCAGGCATTGTACTTGAGGACTCAGACAGTTAGTTTTAAAGCCCGGTTTTATACCTAAGTGGAGGGCTATGGGTATTTTAGAAAAGTAGGAACATTTTAGAAGCCTTGTGCCAAAGTCGCCATCTTTTAATCATGTTTTAAGCATCCTCTGATTTTCGGTTAAAATTGGTGAATTTTCAAAAATAATAGATTTTAACATTTTTTCTAGAAAAAACTTTTAAACTTCGACCAGCCGTTAAAAAAAAATTATAAATGACTCATTTCTAGCAAGAAATGTGTGGTGAAATTATAAGTTTGTTTCAACAATTTCAAGTGTTTTTATTCATAGGTCATTACATAATAAAGTATTGAAAAAAAAAACACTGCAACTGTTAAATGTCAATTATGGATTTATCAAAAGGACTAATTTTTTTCTGTCTTTCTTTTTTCATCTCACCTTTCTTTGTTAAAGATGATTTACATCAACTTACATTGCTCTGGTGTTAGTCACAATATCAGCTGTATCATTAGGCTCATTAGAATCCACCAGAAGACCCTAGAAACAGAGATAAAGCTAAATTTCATCATACTGTGTATATAAGCTTCACACACACATTCTCAGTTATCAGTCAAGACAGAAACCTCAAGATGACAGACAACATTTCATACAAAGGATATTTGAGGTTTGAGAAGAACGGGGAGGATGAGGTGAGAAGGTTCATGATCTCCAAGGACATGAGCAACAACTTCAACAACTTGAAGGAGAAGCTAGTTGTTGTATTCCCTCAACTCAGTGGCAAGGATATCAGCATCACCTGGACTGATGCTGATGGAGATAATGTTACTATTGCTAGTGACGAGGAGCTGAAGATTGCTTTGTCTGAGATGACTGGAACCGTTAACAAGATCAATATTCTAGTACAAGGTGAGAAGAAGAATAATGGTTCTACTAGAGAAATCCATCCCGGAGTGACCTGCGATGGTTGCGAAGGGCCTGTAGTCGGATGCAGGTACAAGTGCATGGTGTGCCCTGATTATGATCTTTGTGAAAGATGTGAAGCCAAAGGTCTTCATAAGGATCATAACATGATGCGTTTATCTTCCTCTCAAGTACAATGGCCTCGCCATTTTTTCAAGCGTCTCCATAAGATTCAAGAGAGGATGGACCTGAAAATGAAGGAAAAGAAGGGAGAAGAAAAAGAGGAAGATCAAATTAAGTTTGCTGGACCAGGTGGAAGAGGATGTATGAGGGGTAGAGGAGGTATGGGGGGAAGGGGAGGAATGAGAGGAAGAGGTGGTATGAGGGGCATACACAATGGCATGTTTATGGGTCCAAACCCATTTGGAGCCATGATGCACGGTTGGATGGGACCAGAGATTGATGAAGCTGCTTATGCTCAAGTTAATTCTGCACATGAAGCTGCTCACAAAGCAGCTACTGATGCTGCTAGTTCTGGCACTTCTGATCCTAGCACTGCTAATTTGATGAACATGGGAAATCTTATTGCTGCTGCTTTGGATCCCTTTGATATTAATGTTGATGTTTCTGTGGAAACCCCAGAAGGTGTATGTACTTCTACTTCTTTCTCTAGCACTGCTGCTTCTACTGCTGAGAAGGAAGAAGAAGCTAAAAAACCTACATCTAAAGATTCTACCCCTGAACAAGCCGTGGATGATGGTTGGGCAGTACCGGTTTGTACCCCGTTGGAAGAATCTGCTTCTGCTAAAGCTGATACTGCTACTGAAGCTGTCCACCATCCAGATCCTAAGATCAAGGTGGCACTGGAGGCCATGATGAATATGGGATTTAGCAATGATGGAGGTTGGCTGACTAATCTTCTGGAGGCCAAGAATGGAGATATTGGAAAGGTCCTGGATATGCTCCAACCTGTAAAGAAGGGGAATTAAACAAGAGTTGATATTAGTATGTGTGCATAAACTGGATCCAGAAATTTAATTCTTATCTTATCATTATATATAAAAATTGTCATATTTAATCTTAAACAAATAAAATATATGCTAGCAGAGTAAAATACTTGTAATGTTACTAAAAAAGTGTAAAGAAAAGAATTTGTGGTAAAAGAAATCCAACAAATGTATTAATCGCCAAGCCAAAATAATTTAGTAAATGACCTTAGTCGGGAGGACTTTATTTAGCTGGCCAAAATCATTTAATTGTTAAAGAAAAAAGGTTGTAAGCAGAAACAATTTCAAATAACCCCTCAATTGTAGAAAAATGTAGCCTCTAAAACAGAAGCTACATATACACTACAGAGTGTCCAAATAAGCATGACAAATTAAAAACTACCTAGATTGACATTGAATATGTATCGTACAATGTATATTGTACTGTTTATATATGCAAAGCTAATGATAATGACTTTTATATGCTAATCTTCCACGGGAGCTTTGTGCCCCTTTCGTTCGAGGTTTTGAGCTTTTAATTTTCCTTTCTTTAATCTTCAGCCATCTGAAAATTTATAATGTTGCAGATTTTCTGTTTTTATTGGTGGATTTCCAAACAAAAAATGGGGTCAAGGTTTGACAAGAGGACATATTTTGAAACCTATAAATATAATATTTATGTTGAATAGGAAGTTGATTGGAAGTACTGTAGTGAAGCACCAACAACTGCTATATCTTGTGATCTACAGGTATAATTCTAAGGGGAGTTAATTTCTCAAAAAATCATCCATTAGATGGCAGAAACTCAGGGAAAACTAAGGTTGCATAGTAAAGTTAGATACTCCGGTTGCGCCAGAAATGTCGTTCAATTATAGCAATGAACACTCAAAATTCTCATTTGACGTTTCTGATTATTGGCAGAATATGAAGAACGCACATGCAGAGTATATAACCTTATTATACAACCTTGGAGAAAATCTAAATATTATGTTAAATCTAGGGAATAAGAATAAAGGGAAGGGAAATGGCACTGGTTTGGCATGAGAAAGCCAGTCGCACTGCTTTGCAGACGAGTTCGTTATTTCACAAGCACACTCTTTTAGTGCAGACACACAACATGACTACAGTCAAGGAAATTGCAGAACAATGTCGTCAATTATAATTATAGCTTGAATAACACATAGTTTATTGTAAACTTTAATCAAATTATATTCTTTGCATGAAAATTTGGCTTATAGTGTTTGTTGACTTAAAGAAATAAATAAAGTTTGACATGTATATTAAACTTATTTTGAAGTAAACAATTAAAAATAAACAAATGTACTTTCCTAGACTGTACAAATACCGAGATTATTATGTACTGTATATACCTACAGTACAAGCCTTCGGTTCGGTATTTCTTACGCACACTCTTTTGGTACAGACACACATACATGACGTTTCCGCCCCCTGGTTAAATCTCTCTAAAGGCTTAAATGGCCGGAAAGTGATCGTAATTTCAGTTTACCCTCTGTATGCAAGAAAGGAATTCCAGATTCACAATAATACCTTTAAAGTTTTGTCTGATCAAGTATGAATTAGATATCAATGTTTTTAAATTCTAAATCACGGTTTCTCTACAAAAGTAAGTTGCGAATTTCTACTGCAGGAAAACATCGGAAATTTTTGCATGGGAGTCATTTGTATTTACGCTTACAGTTCCTTTCAGAGGTTTAAGAGGTTTGACTTCTAACTTTTGACTTGTTGATTGCACTTCTTTAATGTATTTAAATTCTTTAGGTGACAAGTGAGGGTGATTGTCATTTTGTTGATTGCACTTCTTTAATGTATTTAAATTCTTTAGGTGACAAGTGAGGGTGATTGTCATTTTGTTGATTGCACTTCTTTAATGTATTTAAATTATTTAGGTGACAAGTGAGGGTGATTGTCATTTTGGCCAATCTGTCTACTCAGGTAACTTTATAAACAAACAAATTCTTTTTATTATATCTAAACCATCATGAATTTTATTTTATTTATCATAATATCTGAATATATCCTTAGCTGGGAACTCATGTATTGTGGATATCGAGACCAATGTTTTATCTCAATCTTTTGCTAATCTGCAGATTAATTTAATCTTTGTTTATTATCCTGCAAAGTAATCGTACCAGTCAGGGGTTGAAGAGAGCTTTATCAGAGGTTGAAGGGAGCTTTGATCAGGGGTTGAAGAGAGAGCTTTGATCAGGGCCGGGGTGGAAGGAAGCTTTAATAAGGAATTGAAGAGAACTTTGATCAGGGTTTAAATTGAGCTTTTATCAAATGAAAAATAACTAAATTAAAGAGAAAACGCATTGATTCTCAAACTAAAAGTTCCCACAATGAATATCAAAACGAAACGATTGGGATAATTAGAATACAACACAGTTCCCAGCTCTTTTCAGAAAATATCGACATCTGTGCTATTTATGATTTAATTGAAAGAAGAAAAAAAAATTAAATGATATTGTTTTCCAGATGGTATCTGTCATGAGAGCATTGGACCTATCCAGGATAGTTGTATTATTTTACTCAACAAATATAACAAATCCATTATTGTATTAAAAAGTCAAAATATCCAATGTATGTTTTTTCAAGAATGTTTGAAAAAAATTGCAAAAAGTTGTCGCAAATATGTTAAAAAAAGAAATTCTTTTGCAATTATGATGCGATGCTTGTTTCAAATATTTCTAGAGTTTCTTTTCATGCTAAATTTTTTGTGTGGGTTAAAATTAGTTTTTTTTTACTCAAATATCCAAAAAGTACAGTGTTAGGCGATATATCAATACAATAAAGACGACTTTTTAATTTAGGTTTGGATTGTTTACAAGCTTTAATCGAATTACAAGTTTACAAGTAATCAAAGAGGAGCTTTTTATTCGACAGCTTCCATTTGTTTCCTTGTTCATGTGTCAGTGTATTGAAATCTAAAGTCGTCTACATTGTATTGATACAATAATAAAAAAAACATTATAAGATTATTTTCTAAAAATTATCATCGTCCTAATTCAACTAAAAACAGGATGGTGTTGTAAACATGGTGGTTAAGAAAAGACCTTCCAGGTACTTTATCCATATTTATCCATATTTATCTATATTTATCCATATTTATCCATACTTATCCGGCCATATTTATCCATATTTATCCATATTTATCCATATTTATCTATATTTATCCATATTTATCCATATTTATCCATATTTATCCATATTTATCCATATTTATCCATATTTATCTAGATTTATCTAGATTTATCCATATTTATCCATATTTATCCATATTTATCCATACTTATCCATATTTATCCATATTTATCCATATTTATCCATATAATCCATATTTATCTAGATTTATCTAGATTTATCCATATTTATCCATATTTATTCATATTTATCCATATTTATCCACATTTATCCATATTTATCCATATTTATCCATATTTATCCATATAATCCATATTTATCCATATTTATCCAGATTTATCTAGATTTATCCATATTTATCCATATTTATGCATACTTATCCATATTTATCCATATTTATCCATATTTATCCATATTTATCCATATTTATCCATATTTATCCCTATTTATCCCTATTTATCCCTATTTATCCCTATTTATCCCTATTTATCCATATTTATCCATATTTATCCATATTTATTCATATTTATCCATATTTATCCATATTTATCCATATTTATCCATATCTATCCATATTTACGAATTTGTTAAATTTAAAGGGACTGTAAACGTAATTTTAAGTGACCTTCAATTTTGATTATTTGTGTCAGAATTCGACACTACTTTATGTCGGACAAAGATAATTTTATAACATGTTTAGATGTTTACATGTTTACATGTTTACATGTTTACATGTTTACATGTTTACACATGTTTACATGTTTACATGTTTACATGTTTACATGTTTACATGTTTACATGTTTACATGTTTACATGTTTACATGTTTACATGTTTGCTTTTAAAATTTTAATCTTATCAAAGTTCTTTAATTAGATTAGAACAGCTGGAATTATTTTAACATTTCTGTTTTTCTAAATCTCCATTTTCTTCATGTTGTTCGTGCATCAGCCATCATGTTCGGCTAGACTTGAAAATATAATTAAATTAATAATTAGGTGCCCCTTCAAACTGTACCTGGTATCAGGAAAGGCCCAAGACGGAACATGCACATAGAAACAAAACTCGTTAAATCGAAAAATTGAACGTTTAAGTTCAATTTTATGTTTAAGATAGTAATTGGTAATTATGATAATTGTTAACCATATGTATTCTCAAATCCTTTACACAGTTTGAAAATATATGTTTAATTATGTTTTTGAAATATATAATATTTGTTAAAGATTTTACCACGTTTTATTATAGTTAATTTATTTTTCTACAGAACTGTTTTAAAATCTGGATGAGAACCCAAAACCATTGGTAGCAAATAAAATTGAAGGCATTGCGAGGAAAATTTTTTTTCCAATAATTCCAAAATATATTAAGATAGGAGTGATAATTGACATTCTGGCTTAACAGTCTCTTTTTTTCATAGTTCAAAACCCAAAACTTTCTGTCACTTCCAGATAAAAAAATGGTATTTTATAATGCATAATGTAAAACAGATATCAGCAATCACCAAGGTTTCTATTATGTCATCCAGGATATCAGACCATTATTAATTAAGTCTACGTTCATTTACAGGGAGTGACCGGCAAGGACAGTTGAGTTGAGACATGTTAAACGTTTTAATGATGTGTAATTGCTGAGTATGTGCGCAAAGTCGACGTTTAAAATCATGAATTTTGGTGGTTACGTTTTCAGAATCGATATTTTAAATTAATAAATAGCATAGACAAAATATGTAAAAAAAAATTCTAAATTAAACTAATTAGTTTTTTAGGAACAGGTTTAGAAAATAAAAAATTAACTCTTATCATCGAAAATAATCAATCTTATTCAGTTATTGGTTTCTGTAATGTCTCATTGTCCACAAACATTTTCTGTAGATTTTCTGGAATTTCTATTGAGAAATATATGTTCCTAAACTTGTCATAAGTTTACTGTAGAATTTTTGATACATTTTTCGTCGTCGTTATTTAATAATTTAAAACAAATCGATGCTAAAAACGTAACCACCCAGATGGATGATTTTGAATGTCGACCTTGCGCTCAAACTCAGTAATTATGCATCATTGAAACGTTGCATATGTCTCAAATGAATTTTAAAAATATTCTCCACAATACTACAAATTCAGAAAGTTGCACCAATCACCTCGGATCGTAAAAACCAATTTAATTTTAAAAAATCATCCAGATATTACAAACAAATCTACAATTTGTAATTTGTAACGTCATCCTCGAAAAATACTCACAATCCATCTCCAATTATTAATAAAAATGTAAACAATGAATGTGTAACTTAATTTTATTTGAAATATTCTAACAATCTTTATTATATGAGGTTTTTAAATAACAACCTGCTCAAGTCCTTAATTTTGTATTTTTTTTTTGAATATTTTATAAATAAATTTGATACTTATATACTTATAAAACACACATTTCTCTGATAAACGAGACTCAAGTATAGCACGTCAACAACTTAACTCATATTTTAAGGATCAAAGAAATAAAACATATTTTTTATCCTTTTTTATTTTTAGTTATTTTGATATTGTTTTCTAAAGTAGGCACTTAAATATAGATTTAAAGAGAACAAAAAAATAAATTTGATCTTGTAGATTATCTTAATAATCTCAAATGTGACTTTTATGAAAATATCTTTATTTTCAATTCATGTTGGGGACTTTAAGGACTGTAAGCACTTTAAGGGACAGTCTGTTTACGGTTAAAGGGACAGTTTGTTTAGGGTTAAAGGGACAGTCTGTTTACGGTTAAAGGGACAGTTTGTTTAGGGTTAAAGGGACAGTCTGTTTAGTGTTAAAGGGACAGTATGTTTAGGGTTAAAGGGACAGTCTGGTTAGGGCTAAAGGGACAGTCTGTTTATGGTTAAAGGGACAGTCTGTTTAGGGTTAAAAGGACAGTCTGTTTAAGGTTAAAGGGAAAGTCTATCTAGGGTTAAAGGGACAGTCTGTTTAGGATTAAAGGGACAGTCTGTTTAGGGTTAAAGGGACAGTATGTTTAGTGTTTAAGGGACAGTCTGTTTAGAGTTAAAGGAACAGTCTGTTTAAGGTTAAAGGGAAAGTCTATCTAGGGTTAAAGGGACAGTCTGTTTAGGATTAAAGGGACAGTCTATTTAGGGTTAAAAGGACAGTATGTTTAGTGTTAAAGGAACAGTCTGTTTAGAGTTAAAGGGACAGTCTGTTTAAGTTTAAAGGGAAAGTCTATCTAGGGTTAAACGGACAGTCTGTTAGGATTAAAGGGACAGTCTTTTTAGAGTCAAAGGGACAGTCTGTTTAGGGTTAAAGGGACAGTCTGTTTAGGGTTAAAGGGACAGTCTGTTTAGGGTTAATGGGACAGTCTGTTTAGGGTTAAAGGGACAGTCTGTTTAGGATTAAAGGGACAGTCTGTTTAGGGTTAAAGGGACAGTCTGTTTAGGATTAAAGGGAAACTCTGTACAGGATTAAAGGTACAGTCTGACATTCAACCTTTTACTGAGGAAAACTAAGAAAGATATTTACGTTATCTATCTAAAATCTGGTTTCTTTCATGTCCCGGCACCATAATTTCTTATGTCACTTTTACAAAATACATCACTTGAAAACTAGAAAAACAAGGCCACCTCTTTCTTTTTGATCAGACCTTTTATTTCTATAAACATCATATTTTTAGCAAATTTGCATATTTCTACTTCAAAGTAAAGGCAAAGTCACGTGACTACGAAAGGATGAAATATGAAAATGCTCAAAAAAGATTTGAAAACTCATCATGATTCTTGGTTTAGTCTCAAAGGAAAACCGGCCCTGTTTACAATTTTGGAGTAAAACATATTCAACTATTTAAAAAAAACGCTTCCTATAATCCTAAAATAAGTTTTAAAAAATTTGAGTTAACACTGCAAATTTTAATAAGGCAAATGCTGTCGTCAAATCTTTTTTTATGCAAAATATTTTTTGTTCTTTCAATTTACAACAAAACTTGGCAAAACTTGAAATAGAGTTGTTTGGAGACAAAATATTGTATTCAAGGGTTTCATTTGAATAAGACTATAAAAGTCCTAAGTAAAAACAGGTATTGTTGTAAATCTGACTTGCTACTATACAAAGGCTCTTTTTAAAGGGATTGCAAGTGTAATTCAAGCAACCCTCCAGCAATATCCAATTTACAACGGTACCCTGATCAGAAATGTGGAAGATATTGTCGTTTTTCTAGGTTTGAAAGTGTTAAATTCTGATATATCTTCCTGCAGCGGAATTGCACCTGCATTAAGAAACCAAAATTAAAAATAAATAGATTTTTAAAATTATAGACAATGATATTTTTTTGCTAAAAAGTGTAAATAAGAAAAGAAAATACAAATAATAGATTAGAAATAAAAAAAGAAAAAGAAAAAAATAATAGAACTTTGAGGGTAGGATTATATTTAAACTTAACAAAAGTGTTCCCATAAAAGTTGTAGTTATCGAAATAAAATTTTACTTAAATTTTTATTTTAAAGAAAGAAAAAAAGAATTCTCTAGAAATATCCTAAATTTTTTTTTCTTTTAATCCGGTGCTATAATACATCGCTAATTTACATTATAGCACGATGCTAACTTTAGAGTACGACAAAAAAATTCACCATAAAGTGAGTATCAATAATGAAGTACAGTGTACACAATAATTTTATGAAACTATTGTAGCAAGCTGGAGAATGGAGAGTCGGGAGTCCTGATTCAGATTCCGAATAAAATGAATTTGAGCCGCGTCTCAAATCCACCAAAACTCGGTTTCAATTGAGCGCAGACTTAAATCTTGAAACGTTGAATGCACTATTAAGTGGAGCCAACCATAGTTGAGCCGCGTCTTAAATTTAAGCCGTGGCTCAAATTCTTTAAATTCGTCCTCAGAAGATTTAAAATCTTCAATATAAAACTTGTCATTTATTTAAATATTACCAAATCCAAATAGAGAATTAAAAACTATTCATTATTTTAGATTTAATATGAATTTAAATTGTTCCAGTTTTCTAAATTAAACTTAATAAAATTTGAAATAAAAGGAACTGAGGACTCGCTTAAAACTCTTTTTTCTAATTCCTACATCTTTGTAAACAGATGGTGTAAACCTAGTAGATATTTAAAACTTGATCTATTTGATCTAGCAGAATCGATATTTAAAAATATCAAACATCAGGTTACAAAGGCATTAGGAGTAGAAAACTAGAGTTTGAGTACTTTTGACATGCAAAAATCAAGGTCGGAAAAAAGCAAGAGAAAGAACAATGGTATCTAGACAATCATGAAAATCATTCTTCCAATGTTTAGACAGCCTTGACTTTAAAGCGTCGGCAGGGCTTTGGTTTCACCTCACCAAGTTACAAATACCTTTGTGTAGCCCTACATATAAGCATTATAAAACTGCAAAACTCTTGTTTATTGCATAAGTTTAAACAAAAAATTGGCACAATACTGCTCGATTTTTGCGTGCACATCTTGGTTCGCAGTGAGTATGCAGATGCACCTTACCAAATAGATTATCAAGTACAATAGGTGGCAACAGAGAAATGAACCAATTATACACGACGTCATAAGTTTCAAATATAACAAGAAAAACGAAATTTTCTCACATTAGTTGACATGTTTTTCAAGATTAAATAAAAAAGTGTAAAAACAGAAAATAAAGAATACATTTAATTGCACTTATTTTAGTGTGAGCTAAGCACTTTATTATTAAACTATCACTATTTTTACTGAGAGTGTACAAATTCTACGTTGCCATCTGTAGTACTAGAATCTATTTGTACCTTACCATAGATATTACTTATAATTTTGTGACCCTGGACTAAAATACTTCAAAACTGTCTAGGATGACAGTGTTCTTTAAAGGAAGTGTTCGCGAAAAATGAAAGGGGGTATAGGCTTAATGCGATAAAAAAGCGCTTTTGATCGCTACTAATCTTATTTCTATCTGTTGCGTCTATAAGGAGAAAATTGTTAAAGACGTCTCATACCGAATAACTTAGCGTTCATACAAATTGAGAAAATTGCAACATACGACTTATAGACCGTAAAAAATCAATTTAATTTCAAACAAATCATTCAGATATTACAACCTATAGTCATCGATTATCTTTCGCCACATTTGTATATAGTTTATATTTTATAATATTTTTTAATTAGTTTGTTTTGAATTTGATTATTTCTCTTGTCGCTTGAGCAACTATCTAAGAATGCCGCGCACCACTCACATTTTTCGAAATCCGT